TCCATTTGTAATAATTTAATAAACGATCAATAGTTTTTTTTATTTTAATATAAAAGCTTTTCTATTTAAGATTTGTCAATTTAAATACAAATATGTAAATACTTTATCCATAATCTATAAATCTCTGTTATACATACTGTGACAATAAATATTGTAATACTGAATATTGTGATCGATCACATGAAACATACACAAAATGCAATAAGTTATATTTGTGACCGAGAATGGTATTTCAGATCCAGAGGGGTAGTATGGGAGGATGTAAGAAGAAATTACACATCCTTAAAGAAATAAAACATGGTTGAAAAAATTAAATAAATTATTGTAAATAACATTTAGTAGTCTTAAATTAATAATAAGTGCAATGTCACATTTGTAAGCGATGAATTTTATATTATAAATAAAGGCTGAAATGGCCCTCTGGAGCAGTACACTTTGTTTACTTTATTAAACAATAAATCCTAATACCCTATATTGTACTTAATAAACACTAACACTATTACTATTACAAACTCTGTAAACCTCTAATAACATTACTGTTTAACCCTTGACTATATGACTTACCCTATTTGCATTCGTTGACACAAAGTGACCGAAAGCCTTAACTGCCTACTAGCCAAATCTAACACCCTTTTTCGAAAAGGTTACTTGTTATATATTACACAAGGTTTTGAATTGTGGAGTGACAGAGTCACAATCTTCTAAACCCAACAATACGTAATGTACCAAAACTATATAATACAATATGCTCATTTCTAACTTCCTTTAAGCAACTCAAGTGCCTAGTTTAATTATATCTTTTCCATACAATTTTAATAATTCTGAATTTTTATGTTTTAATCTATATGAAAATCCCCTTTCATCAAACATACAATGAAATGGTGGTAAGATTTTCAAAGCCAAATTTGTAAAAATTCAAATTTAAATTGTTTTTAAATAAAGTAAGTTTTTTTAGTCTAATAATAGAATCTTTTGGTGTTTTTGCTCCTTTATCTTTAAATTTATTGCTCAGCAATAAATTAATTCTCCATTAAACTTTCCTTGGAATTGTTTACCAAGTTTAGTGCATATGTTATGCATCATTTTTAAATTCTATCATTTTTCAATCAGTATAATATGTATTTTGTTTGTCTCTCATTTTTTATATAATTAATATGATGAAGAACACTAAACAGGTATGTCTCTTTTGTCATCAAGCAACCTATGCAGCCTTCATAAGTATCAGCTGGTTAATATAAGCTTTTATTATGCATTCTCGTTATTAATAATCTAATTGCTTCTAGCAGTCATCCAGACTGGCTATCTTATCATCACAACTGTCATCTGAACAGGTTGCAATTCTAAATACTTACAAAACTAGATAACCTACCCACCCCTGCTTCTTTTCTTCACAAATGACTGCCATCTCAGCAGGTTGTTTCATTCAAACAATGTTTAATTGCAGGAGGGGGGAGGGATCAATGTAACCAGAATGAAAGTCAGATTTGCAGAAAAGACAATGTTATCTACTATTATTTCTTAAGCTTTACTAATATACTACTATCTAATTACCTCATAATCACTCAATTACCTCATACTTCTTCAATTACCTTATTATTACTCAATTATCTCTAACTAATAGACTATCATATTAATTATACTACAATCAATAACCTCATACTTTTATTCAATTAACTGATAGTCAATCGAACATGTAATCATAAGAGAGTTTATTACTTGTTCGATCAGATAGCACATGATTTAAAACAAAAGCTGCTTTGATACTTATGTATTGAGCAGTTAATTTGTTTGTCTCTTATTTTCTATATAATTAATGTAATGAAGAACACTAAACAGGTCTTTCCAAATCATTATAAAAGAAAAAATAATTATTCTTAACAATTAATTAATTGCTTAAGCAGTGAAAACAACTTACAACAACATGACAAAAAAAACTTTATCAATAAATTCTCATTAATGTTGATACTCTTAACTTAGTTGAACCAACTGATCTTATATATAATTATGCAGCATCTAATACCCAGCCATCAATTACTTGAATTTGTTCAAGTAACATTTTATCTTTCATAGTTACAGTAGTACCTTCAATCCTTAAACTATGCATTATAAATCTTCTTTTTAAATTTACATATTCAACAAAATGTTTAATTATTGCAATAATAGTTAACACTGTCATCTTACTCCTTGATTTAGACAGAAAGAATAGTGCATTATCTTTTGTTTTAGGTCTTATCCTTAAATATTTCACTATTCTCTTAATTAGACAATACTTATTACTAGACATCTCAATTGGTACAAACTTCTTTTTTACAAATTAATCCATATTTAACTTACTTATTCTTATTTATAAAAAATAATTCTTCATTTCTATATCCTTCTTTTTTGATTTACAAAGTTCATTTAGCTATCTTATTGTTCTTAAGTCTAATGTTATCAAAACCAAATCTCTAGTTCACATTTCAAAACTCATGTTTTCTAAAGAAAGTTCAAGTATTGCTTAACAATATTAACAAATAAAGGATCTCTTGGCTACTTAGCCTTCATATCTCTTACTATAAGTTTCTTAATACTATTCACTACTATTTATATAGTGCTATTCCTAAACAGATCATGTAATTCTTTTAATTTATATGCTCTTGTAATTATGACTAAATAGTTTTGCATCTTTTTACTCCATCTTGTTATATCTAACTAAGTTAAAAAAGTTGTTACTGTTATATATATTATTAGATAAACCTTATAACTGATTTGTTCTGTAAACTTCACAAATGAATATTATGTCTTATCTAGTTTCTTTCTATATGCCTCATTGATAACATTCTTTGGCAATATATTTACATATACTAGAAGCTTCTTGACCAGTCTATATGAACTGTTCGCAACTTCTAAAGTTTATTATTGCAGAATTATTTGTAACCTGATAAACCTGTCTGAAAGATCTCTACTGTAAAAGATAAATCTAATTCTTCTCTTTCTAACTGTATTACTATAAGCCATCAAGGTGTTGTTACCCAAATTGGCACAATAATCATTATCATGATCCCATATTTTTTTATATGCATTAAAGATTGATGAATCAGATTAAATAGTAAATATATATAATTTATATCTTTTTTCCAATCTGTATGAAACAGTCTACTGTTTCTGTCTTTGGGCACAGATGCAGGCTGTTGAATCTTTTTAGTTTTATATTAACATAACTGACAAATCTGTCCACATTAAATATTTTCTAATTCCTTTAAAGCTGATCTACTATTTCTGTCTTTAATTTCCAATTACCAAAATCTACTATTCATAACCAAGCATCTGCTAGGTTCTTTAAATTTGAAACCCACCTTGTACAGTAAATACCTATATTTAGCTTCATGCACAGTTTTCAAATCTCTCTTGCAATATCTTTCTATTACTACAATAGTTCCCTACTGACTACTATCTTCAATACAATCTTATTGTCTATTACCAACATAATACATATCTTTTTTAATTAATTTTTAAAAGATTGTAGAGCATATAGCACTGCAATTGCTTCTAACTGAGTTATCACATCTTTTGATAATCTTTCTGACCAATTTTCTGTTGCCACTATTTCTTGGTAAACTCCACACCAACCTCTGACTAATGCATTCACAAACAAACACCCTAGTTTTGACTACTTCTATACAAGGTGTTTACTTCAGATCTTTAAATTTTCTATCAACTACCAAATATCATTTAAGGCCTGACTCTATAGTGTAATTGTTGGTTTCAATTATTCCAATCTCTGTTCCTTGCATCTATTAGTTTATAAAACTCTAAACATTTTATCTAAGTTGGGAAAAATACTCTTGCCTGGCCCTGGATTCTTTCTATGACTGATGCTAGTTTTATACAATACATTAAAATTTTTTAACAACTCTTTCAATTTCAAAATTATTGAAACAATTTTCTTCTTAGACACAATTACTAGGCCCTTTACCATATCTACAATTAGACTACAAAATTTTGTTCTTTGTATTAGATTTCAATTGTTCTTCTCTTCTGCCTGAATCTAGTTACAATTCCTCAAATCTATTTCTATAACTGTCTGTCATTGATCTAACAAAACTTTTTTTGATGAATATGTCACCCATATATTGTTTAAGTAGTTAGCACAAAATATACACCTTGATCTTCAGCTCTCTATTAATGCTTTTATTACCTTCACAAAAATTCATAGAAATTGACTCAGACTGAAAGATAACACCTTGTAATGAAATCACATCCTGTTGAAACAAAACTTCAAAAATGCTGAGCTATCTCATTTATTAACAGATGATAATATCTCTTATTTAGATCAAAGATTAACTTTTACTAATTTCTTTGACTGTTTTTAATAAGGTTTCTAACTTTTCAAACTTAAACATTTTCTTTGGAAAAGTCTTGTTCAACCTTTTGAGATCTATTAATAAGTGAAACTTCTTAGAATCTTGCTTTAATATAACAAAAACCAGACTTACTTCCATAAATACTTCTGGTCTTATACTCTCTAACACAACTAATTCTATTATACTAGCTTTTTTTAACCTCCTCAACTTTTATTTTACCCATTTCTTTTCATTTATAAAAAAGGTTTGCTAAAATGACACTATATTCAAAGCCAATTTTATGATACCTATTAAAAACAAAAGAGCTGGTTTTATTACTTCTCTTCAATACTTTACTACTACTTCTAAATGCAGTCTTTCTGTTACATAGTGATTATTGCTGTTCAATTCCAAACTTTCTTTTTCTACTGTTAGTATCTTCTGATATTGTCAATTTCTCTTTTGTTTGGCATTATCATCTTGAAAAGACATACTTAAATGCTTGCACAACTTATATTTATTTGCATATTGCCTTTTACTCTTATATAAATAACAAACAACTTTCTTAGTTACATTTATCTTCTTTTTTACTTCTGAATTTCTTATCCTTAATGAAGAGGAGTATTTATTACCTTGTGACATAAATAGTACCTATGAAAAAACACTATGTGTTGCCTGTTACCCTGCTGTAAAAGGATTCATATTGCTAGGTCCTATACATGAAGTTGCTAGTACTAACTCCTATTGGCTAGACCAATATTGCCACAAAAGAAAAAAAAAAGAATGTATTTGAAAAACCACTAGAGCAAAAGATAGACCTTGCTGTAAATTTGGAAACAAGTTTGACATATATTCCTGTTGAGCATCTGACTTCTGACCCTTTTTCTGAAATAATTTCTGTTTCTTTTTCCTAAAAAGACTTTGAGTTGCTAATTTCATTGTTTCTCTTTTCTCTCAAACAACTATGACATAGAATCAATCATGTCATTAGTTGCCATTTTAGCAACCATGTTCTATCTATCCTCATTGGCAACTCTGACTACATAAGTTCTTTCCAATGCTGGCTGCCTACCTAACAGTAAATAATTCACATCTTTCATGCTTAAAACCTTATCCATTAACAAGTCAGCCTTGCACTATTTATTAAATTTCTATTAGTTTCTTGCTTTAGATAATTTCTGTTTCTTTTATAAACCCAATTTCTTATTATCACAATCTAATACAAATTTATCTTTTTCTTCAGAAAACTGCAATACCTGATGCACTCCTGTCACTTTAGCTTCCAAACTCTCTCCTTCAAACTTATTACTACTAAAACCTTCTTACATCAAGTGATCACAATTTTATGAATAGAAAAAAGATTCTGTATCCCTTATATCATTATTTAAGTTCATTGACCTCTTTCCAAACAACTCCTCAGATAACTCTTCTCTACTTTTATACTCCTTAACTAACCTACTAATTAAATCTTGTTTTAAACCAACATCAGAAATACCCATTTCTTGACACAAAAACTTTAATATCTCAAGAGATAGCTGACCAAAATTTGCTTTGAAATTGACTTGATCACAAAACAGCTCACTCTCATTAGTTGATTGCATAGACAATTCTTCATCTACTATAACTTTATTACTATTTAAACTACCAGTCATAGTCAGCTGAAATTAATACCAGTTAATATTGCAAGTAATAACAAGTTACAAAAATAACAGAATAAATGATAACAAAATTATTTGCTCAATGTAACCAGAATGAAAGTCAGGTTCACAGAAAAAACAAAATTATTTACCATTATTTCTCAAGCTTTACTAATATACTACTATCCAATTACCTTATAATTACTCAATTACTTCATACTTCCTTAGTTACCTTATTGTTACTCAATTACCTCTAACTAATAGATTATCCTATTAATAATACTACAATCAATGACCTTTACTTTCATTCGATTAACTGATAGTCGATCGAACATGTGATCGTAAGAGGGCCTATCACCTGATTAATCAGATAGCACATGATTTGAGACAAAAGCTGCTTCAATATTTACGTATCAAGCAGCTAATCATTTAACAGAAAAAACTCAAATTTACTAATGTAACTAGAAAATGATTGCATTGTTTACGTAAAACGCATCTAAAAGTGCCTTGAGTATAATGAATTTTTATTTCTACAAGAGCAATATTTAGTACTGTAATTCGTTTTTCACAGCTACAAGAATTTGTGTGTTTTTTTTTTAACTTTACCATTATTATTTGTACTGTTACTTCAATTTAAATTATATCAGTAAAATTTTAATTAAAAAAATTTTTTTTATTTACTTCAAAAATGAGTTAAGTTTCTTAGGTATTCTTGAGTTGAACATTTTTGTGTTAAGTGTTCTCGAGTTGGAGATTTTGTATAGTATGAATTGTATGACTTGGGTGTTGAACATTATAAGTTGACATTCCTGAATATTACAGTATTATGAATTGGACATGTAATATTTTGCTTACCGAAAGTATTAATATATTAAAACATTCATTGTCTCATTCTCTACTCATAAGCTTTATTTGTATATGTTTCCAATATTCAGTTAAATTTCTTACGGGTCAGAAAAGAAAAACTTTTGGATTTATTAGTAGAAAGTGAAGAAAAAACTCATATGATGGTAAAAGAATATTTTTCAAAATTTATTTATTTATCATGATTGCATTATATAAATAAGCTATTGTCGATTATAAATATGATCTGTTGACTTGGGCCATTTATCAATTAGTACGTAAAAATTAAACAATGATTATCGTTATAATTGACGTAAATTGATTACTACGTATAACAAATATGGGGTAATTTTTTGACGATCATTTTCTTTCATCAAAAAGGAAATGTGGCGGATCATGAAAAGATACAGTATGCACGCCATTTGCTTGACGGTACACACTTATCGTTATTGATAATTTATTTAGGAAATACAGTACGTATAAAAAAATTTAAGATAGTTTGTACGGTACGGTGTGTTTTATGAATTTTTTTCAGGCAAAAATATTAAATTGAAGCCTAGTAAAAATTTATAAAAAAAAAAATAAGTATATTGACAATAAGCATAGTTAGGTATCTTAGTAGTGTTTAGTATCAGACCCTAAGTCATTTAGTCAGTGCATTACGGTACAGTCAAAATTTTGCAAAATATAAATAATGCCTCTTATTTGTTATAATAATTAATCTTTACTGAGTTGAATTATAAAATTTTAATAAATAATCTTTAAATTCTTTTATTCCATTGTTAAAATCAGAACACTCAACTATATATTTAAATACTATAAATTTAAATTTACGTAAATAATAGCTCAAAATAAGGTTTCGTAATAATATTCATTGAACAAAGGGATAAAAATTAGTTATTAATTTTAAAAAATGATTCACCCTATATTTAGCGCAATTCATGGACTTACCAACTGCATGGAATCTTGATAACGAATCTACTTTTTTGAGCGTAGATTCGAGCGGACTTAGAGTGAATTATGAAGGTCGGGCAAATTAGATTTTTCAAATTTCATGCATATGAAAATTTTATCTACTTTATGCTAATACAGGATGATAGCTCAAATTATTAAAAAACTTTGTTTATTATCATGTGCATTCGTTCGTGACTAGTGTGATTATTTATATAGGATTACATGACAAATGATTTAATATTGCTGAATTAATACAATTTTTAATTAAATACTTAGGTTTCGGCAAAAGCAATGAAGATGTTCGTGCGATACGTGCAAATCATCCAATCCCCCCAGAATGCAAGTTGTTTTATTTTGAAGTTGACATAATAAATGAAGGGATAAATAAGTATGCTGAAATATATTTTGCCATAAATTAAAAAACTCTTAAATTTTTCTTATAATTTTTTATATCATTCTATTTAAAAGAATTATTGGAATTGGATTTTGCGAAAAAACAGTTGATTTAAACAGAATGCCTGGTAATTAAAAATTCTATTTTTACATAATGAACATATTCACACATTATATTTTTTATAGGATGGGATTATGGTTCCTGGGGTTATCACGGAGATGATGGCAAATTATTTTGTTGCTCTGGAAGCGGCAATGATTATGGACCGTTATTTTCTACTGGCGATACCATTGGATGTTGTTTAGATTTTAAAAATAGCACAGTATTCTATACTAAAAATGGTATAAACTTAGGTAGTTAGTGCAAAGCTTTATAGTTGTACTATTTTATATCATGTATATCACGGTAGTTTGATATTTTATGACATAATTTTTAAGGTATTGCATTCCGAAATTTAAAAGGCATCTTGTATCCTTGTGTTGGATTGAGATCACAAGGTGGATCTATAGAAGTAAATTTTGGTAGCAGAAAATTTAAATATGCAGGTAATTCTGAGTATTTATAAGCAAAAGTTTTCTTCGATTTTTAATTTAATACCGTAATTCATTGTAAATAGTGACTACTAGTGATGATATAGATAATGAATTATTGAAAAAAAAATGGATTGGTGCATTTAATATGTACATTAATGTGACGAATGTATATACACTTGAAGATTTAGAAAATTCGCTGAAAATCAAACAAGACACTGCTCTTAAATTTCGAGTAAAATTTAATTTCATCATGGGAAGATATGAAGAAGCAATTATTGATCTAATAAAATTGCTTGATGTTGAACCAAACAGCAAATTTGCACTAAGATGTCGAGGAGAAGCCTATTATCTAATGGGAAAATACAAAGAATCATTCGATGATGTGAATAAATTACTGAAAATTGAGACAAATGATGAATGGGCAACAAAACTTTTTGCAAAAATAACTGAAAAGTAAATATAAATTATTCTGCTTTTACAACTATTCATATTCTCTAATTAATTATCTACACGTTGAATTAATAGGGAGTGAGCATAATATTTATTTTTTAATTATATCTATACGGCATAAACTAAATAAAAGCTTTGCTCATTTACCTTTTTTAATCTTGGTAAGTATGCATAACGTTTGTTTAAAATTTACTAAATGAATTTTTTCTAACAATTATCCTCTAACCAACTATAAACCTGTTAAATAACTAGATTGTGAGTGCAAATTTTATTTTATAAATCCATAATATGCTTTTGATTTAAGCATTTTTCCTAATCAGCTACAACCGATAAATTACTAGATTATAATACAAAGTCCATATGTTGATAAGACATATGAATTAGGATATTTTTATCTTCACGGAATTAACGTTGAAAAGGATGAATATAAAGC